ATATATAAATTACAAGATAAATAATAAAGAATTATTTAATAAACATTTTTAGTTCACTAATGCTATTGCTGCACGGTTTCCATTAATTAGTTTAGTTGTTTTTTTTTTGGGTAATTTATTAGTTTAGTTGTTGTTCGCCTCTGTATTAGAAACAATCTCTAACCAATTTCTGCTTCATGGAACCCAAAAATCTAACATCTCAATGTCCAATATTCACAATAAAAAGGAATAAAACTGCTTGAAAACATCACTCAAGTTAGAAGTTAGATTTTAGATTCTTTCCTCACCTCAAGTGAAGGGAGGAAATGATCCCACAATCCTAAACTAAGGCCAAAAGCCCATAAAATAAAAGAGCATCATTAAAAAGGGATTATGAAGGTACCCATAGGATGCTCCCTAGATTTAATTCTTAAGGTCATTTTGATGGAAGGTAAGGAGACTTTCATTTTGGCTCCTAGATTGGAACTCTTTTCTCAAAATTAGATGGGATGGAAAAATAACTAGAGGCTTTGACAGAACTACACGACCATTACTTTTGAAGGAAAGGTGCAATGAACACCCATTATTCTTCCACAATTAGAAAATTCTTCTTAGTCCAAACTTTTCAATGAAATTTAGGTTTCGTTTGGGACGGTTTTTTTCCTGCTTCTTAAATCAAATTTTAAGTACAAAAATTAAAAATTTGGTACTAAAAAGCATCTTTACAAAGCAATAAAAAAATCGTCCCAAACGAAGACTTACAATATCCTTATTGATAGCAAGAAGAGGAAAGCCACAACCCTTGATCAAATCTAGGTGATCCAGATTACAAAATGTGGATGTCAACAAGCATCAAGGGGAGGCACAACAACAAAGGGCCCCACAGTAGCAGCAATAATAGCACAAAGAGGTAATTGAAGGACGATCATTTCTTCGAACAAGAAGCGAGGTTGTGAAAGGTGTGGCAATAACAATAATAGATAGAGACTCAACAATGTGTTTTTGTCCAGCAACAGAGGGCAAAATGACATTACAATTGGAGAGGGTTTGAATTTGAAATTGAAGCATTGCAAGGATGACCCAACATACCCCTGTGAGGAAATTACCTTCTTTGCTATGAATGATCTGACCAAAACCTAATTAAAATTTCATGTTTGGGTTGACCTGATTAACATTCGATTTATATTTGGATGGGAATTATAAATCCAATTATTATTTGGGTCGAGATCAATTTGATCAAATAAACTTAAAATTGACTCGATTCTATTTGAGTTCAGAATAAACAAGTTAGAGTCAGGTTAATTAAGCTAGTATTATATGTAGGTTAAGTGGGCTGTGTTGATCCAAAAAATTAAATGATTTATATAATAAATGTTTTAGAAGGGTTAGGTTCGGATTAAATATTTTGACTCATATAATAAACGTATCGATTTGTACCAAGTAGATTTAGGTTGAGTAAATTTTGGGACTTGTGTCAGACCTAAACCTAACTCTTTAACCTGAATTAACACTCCTAATTAATAGATTTAAGATTACCAAAAATCTTAATATTTGACCAAATATTCATATTCATTTGGCTCCACACAGAGTGTAAGGGAATGTCTTTAAGTCTCTTAAAACAAACCAAAGCTCATATATTTGCAAAGATTAGAATTGTCATCATTGTGCTGATACATACCAATTAGACAGCTAAAATGAACTATAAAGTAGGAAATGATGGGGGCGTTTCAGAGGTGGAAGGGAAAACCACTCAACTTAAGCCAGCATAAGATATACTTACCCTTTGGAGTAGCACCAATTTTTGGTAACCACAATTTAACTATAGCAAAAAAAACTACTACGTTGCACGACCATCTTATAACAATTCATGTTGATCATTGTAATAGCTCGTAATTTGACGTCAGAAAAAATTGAGTTAAGCGTGCTCATCTCAGAGCAATTCTGACATGGGTGATTTAATTGTTGTACAAAATGGTGAGGCTTTTAAGCCAAAGCGGACAATATCTCGAAAGTTGAGAATTTGGGCTGGTACAACCATCCCCTTGATTTTAAATTGGAAAAATGAAGCAAGGCATCATGATCATCATTATCACTATCATCATCATTATTGTTACTATGTACATAGGGCCTTCTTAATGTATTATTATTATAAGATCAATCAAATAAAAAATAGAATTATACTAATTTATTCAAATGGGAAGTTATTAATAGAGAAAAAATTGAGGGATGGTAACCTGACTTCCATATGCTTCGTTGTCATGAGATTAGGGAGAAAATCTAGACGTGTCCCAACCCCTTTCAACCATTGCAAACCACAAAGTTTCTACACTTTGAAACAAAGTGCCCTTTCTCCATGCACTTAAAACAAACCAATTTTTTAGAGTGTCCAAAAAAAAAATATGGAGATGAAGGAGAAGACGAATTTATCTGGGATAACAAATATCACTATAAAGGCACAAGCTGTGTCAGCAAGCGAAAAATGGAAATGATTAGTAGGATGCTCTGGAGGTTTCTCTCGGACAAACCAAGCATAGCAGGGAAGCTTATGATGCTCTCCTACAATCTCAAGAAGCCGCTTAATAACCTATCTATTTTATTATGTCATCATCATCATACCGTTAAAAGAGAGAGTGTTCCTAATCAAATTTGCAATCTATGATCTTCTTTTGATAGACCGCTGAACAGCCACATATGCCACTACATATTAATCAAATTTTGAATGGAAGGTGTTTGAGTTCTGATAAATCCCTGCTGGGTTAATGAAGATATAGACTTTCAAATTATTTTGTATTGAGCCCACTAGATTACATCAAGTAATTTCAGATTCCGCAGCATGGTTAAGAACTAATACCTGGAATAAACTTATCTGGTGAAGCACTAGAAACCTGCAAGTAATCAAGGATTTACCAATTAGTTGGAAAAATCGAACACCACAAGCAGAGCAGCAAATGCAATTGTAGTCACCAAACTAGTGATGGGATAAAACAATCCCGTAAACTCAAGATATCATGACTTCTGTTTGGTTTGGTAGTAAAAATCAAAGCAAAAATAAGGCTGACATATAAATTCTTGCCTTGTGATGAAAAGCAAAGACCATTCAGTTGGGGCAGATAATAACATATTCCATCTTGTTCCTTAAATCTATAAATTAAAGCAATATCGCCTGCAAAATGAACCTATTGTTCTAATGCGGCAGTAATTTTCTTTTGTATGAGCTCAACTCCAAGGCGAGGGGACAATCTAGGAAGTGTTTCCTGCATTTATTTAAAGAAAATGTCAAACTCGCATATTTTCAAATGAAATCAAGCACTTGCACCACAACATACTAAAAAATCACAGCTTGCTCCATAACTTAATCAAATTAGTTTTTTCAAGATCCTAAAGAAAGCTTAACATGTTCAAAGAACTGCATTCTCCGACTTTACTTGAGCCTAAAATGTTCATGATAAGCAAAGCATTTCAATATTGTTTCAACGTGGTGCATCTCAGTTTTTTATTTTTACTGCTTGGTATTGGTTCATAAAACTTTACTATCAAGCACGTGTTTATAGTAAGCAAGAGGTTTTTAGAGGCTCCATGATGGGAAAAAAATTATGGTTAACTTGCTTAGGGACCGGAATGAGAACAAATCTTCTAAAGAAATACTGAAACTTATATGTAAAATTATTTCTTCTTCCTTTTTTTGCGCACTAAATTTATCTGTTTTGTGTTCTTTTTCACTCTTGGTGTTTGAAATATTGCTTATTTCCAAACATCAGCGCCATCGAATGCCAAAATACTAAGCAGCAAATAAATGGTATCCTTGATATTAAGAAGTGCTGCATACAAAGTAAAAATATATTCCAACCCTAACATGCAATTACAAGGAACGCCTCCTCAAAGAGGCATATCAACAAACACCTAACGGGCTATCACGTTTTAACATAGTAAGTTTAGTTAGAAAAAAGATGCCACCGACCTCTCTACCATCAGGGAGTATTTTGGCAAGGACAGGAATCTCGTACTGGTACAGCCTCTCCCATTCAGCGTTCCCAGAAATATCCCTTACCTAAAACCACCGAGTCAGATACAGATAGAGCGAGCAAGCCACAGAGAGAGATAGAGAGAGGGGGAGAGATTAGCCTGGAGTTCGACGGAGTGGAGAGTGTGCGAGCCACCAAGGGAGAGCGCGGCCTGAAGCTTCTCTTTGAGGCCTTCGCAGAGACAGCATCCGGGCTTCGTGTAAAGCACAAGCTGCCGCTGTAGAGGAGAAGCTTGCCCGCAAGTGGCTCCGCCACTGGAGAAACTGGCAAAGGCGGCGAAGGGAGGACGCTGGGCCGGCCTGCAACGGACGAGGCTATTAGCAAATGCAATCGACGGGAGGGAGGCCGTCACTCTCAAAGCCACCATGATTTGGGAGTTGGGAAGAAACAAAAAACTTTGGATCGGGGAGAGAAAAGTGATAAAAAGCCAACCACGCAGGTGTTTATAGAATAAATCAAGCTCATTTTAACTTGTATAAATTACAACAGGTGAATTACACCAATCATGCATGTTGATCATTTTATATTAACATATGATGCAATGTGAATTTATCAAAATTTTAGATTAATGTACATTAAACAAATTATATGATAACAACAATATTAAGTGTTTATCCCATTCTGTAGGATCGATTACATGAATCATTTTTCTTCATTGTGTTTTATTAAGAGTTAAATTTTATAAAGGTTATCTTTAATACTTTCTAATCAAGTCTTTTTAGATCTATCTCTAACTTTCTTAATATAGTCCATTTCTAATTCATCTACTCTTCTAACTAGGTCATCCAAGGTGACTCGCTCTAATTTTATCTACCCCTAAAGTTGCTCCAACCTTTTCACATATATAATCGCTTCGCTATTTGTCGCTAAGTGTAAAGCCACTCATCCACTCAAACATCCTCGTCTCTGCAACACTTAAAACTTAATTTTATGCTTCTCTTTTAATGACCAATATTTTATTTCCAAAAAGCTGTTTCTAACCCAACAGTTTTCTTCTGTTTTTTTTTTTCATTTGGTTTTAAGGGGGGTATAAGTTTTTGGTTATTCTCAGCTTTTTGTTTGAGTTTAACCTTTTTTGTTATACCTTACTTGTAATTCTTCTTAACATAGTAATATATGGGCTCCTTGCCCAAATTTCCAAAAAAAAAGGGTTTTTTTTTAAAGAAATTTGAGTCAATTAAGACAAATTCATACACATATCACATACACAAACTTTGAACCCAAGTCCTTTTGGTTGGTAGCCAAAGCTCACAACTACAACATATCAAGATTAGCTATGTAACAAAGGATGTTATACTCCAACAATAGTAGCTACGAAATGGGAGCTTGTGCGTGTCAATTTCCTATACACGAGAAACTTATGCTACACTACATGAGCACCATCATAAATATTAGGTGGAGTCACAATTATTTTAGGTTAGATATATGTTTTTTTAGTGAATTTGATTTAATCTTCACTTCATCCTGTCATGAGAAAATTTCTTTCCTAGACATTATTTGATTTGGATAAAAAAATATATTTCAATCATCACGTCTCGTGATGTATTCTTTATATATCAAAATTTCTCCCCAACATGTGCATATGTATTAAATATGAATACATAAATTAGTATTATTATTATTTAAAAAATTATATTTATTTACAGAAATTGATTTAAATTAAGACATGCAATCAAATTAGACACATCAAGAGATTGCTAAGCTATTAGGCCCCCACTATTCGGCTTGCAATATTTCCTATTGACCATCACTTAACGCTTTCTGACAACCAATATCCAACGACCTCCATCGATCAATATTCTAGGCTCATTAATCAAGTAGCATTGCCTCTTATTAATATAATGGTCAAACTAATTCCCCATCATTGCCTGACTTATAACATTACTAATAATTTCCAATGACAAACATCCTACATTTGTTAGTCAATAATGTTTAATGCTCAACTTTATGATCATAAGGTCTCCCATCCGATCAAGAGAACAATCACTGCATTAAGCTTGCTTTTTTATCAATGCATGACATTCTCCATCCAATGACATTTGAAATCCACCAATTGTTGATGTTTGATACAAATTTTGCAAGTAATGTGTTTTCCCCTCATAATAGAAAAAACAGCAAAGCTAATTTCTCATTATCACTGTAATTTTGATATTTCCTATCTACGACCAACTAACACTTTCCAAAGAGCTTTATACAATACTAAGGCTTCATTTAGGATGATTTTCTTACTACTTTTTTTTAAAATAATTTTTAGTACAAAAAATAAAATTTTTATACTAAAAATTTACTTTAAAAAACGATAAAAAAATGTTCTAAGCAAAACCTAAATATCCATAAACCTTTAATGCGCATATATTTAATAGCATGGTCTCCTCTCATAATATGAGAATAATCAAACTAACTACATGCCACCACCCAGCTTTTAAAGTAAACTCGTTTAGTTTTTATTATTATGACTACAAAACCTATCTTATCTACACCCATCGCTGGCCACTGCCATTGGCTACGTTCTTCCACTAGCCTCCATCGTGATAACCACCATCATTTTTAAACTTTATATTATATTTACTTTACTTCAATCAAATAAAAAATAATAATTTCATACATTCTTTTTAAATTCATCTAAATCATTTCTATATATTATATTCTTTTTTATATTATTTTATTATTCTGCATTTTTTTTGGAACATTAGGAGTTTAGAACACAAATTCATGGGACGTACTAGTTCACAACTACCAACGTGATGCATGCACGAACCCATTATGCATTTTGTTTATAAGCATATCAAACAAAGCCTAAAACATAGCTCATATTGGTCTATTGGTTGAGTGCTTAGGCTTCCAATTAAGAGTGTTGCGTCCTGTGATGCCGTATCAAAGAGGTTTTAGATTAAATTTTTTGTGTATGTATTATATATATGAATTTAACTTAAATGAACAAATATCTTAAGAAAAAACTAAGATGAATCACATCAAAAAATATAATAAAAAGAATCAAACTATTGAAATTCTTTTTATGAGATAAAGTGGTGTGTATATAAATTATAAATCTCTCCTAAAAAAAAAAAAAAAAAAATTATAAATCCCCTTCTTTTTAATTTTATGTGAATGAGACTCCATAAAAGTTCAGATCACTGTTAGATACCTAACCAGCTACTTACTGGCATGTCACTTACAACCGTCGCCGGGGGCTTCATCTTCCTCCTCCTCTTATTCTCCTCCGGAGCCGTGGACATAGGCTTTTCCTTGGAAGATGAGAAAGCCCAGATTGAGCGCTTCCAGCAATACCTCCGTATTCAAACGGCCCACCCGAACCCCGACTACGCCGGGGCTATCTCTTTCCTCTCCAGCCAGGCTCGCTCCATTGGCCTCAAAATTCTAACCTTAGAGTTCACGCCAGGAAAACCCCTCCTTCTTCTCTCCTGGGCCGGCACAGATCCCTCCCTCCCTTCCATCCTCCTCAATTCCCACCTGGACTCCGTCCCTGCCGACTCCTCGCACTGGATTCACCCACCCTTTTCCGCCTACCGCGACTCCGATGGCCGTATATTTGCTCGCGGCGCCCAGGATGACAAGTCCATTGCAATCCAGTACCTCGAGGCTCTCCGCAACCTCAAAGGTCGCAGGTTTTCCCCTCTGCGGTCCATCCACGTTTCCCTCGTACCCGATGAGGAGATCGGCGGCGCGGATGGGAACGAAAAGTTTGTTGCTTCCCAGGAGTTCAGGATGCTTAACGTAGGTTTCGTGCTTGACGAGGGTCAGGCCTCGCCTACGGATGAGTTCAGGGTCTTCTATGCCGATCGCTTGCCATGGTCGCTGATCGTCAACGCTGTCGCCGGGTCATGGATCGAAGATGTATGATGGCTCTGCAGCGGAAAATCTGTTGGAGTGCGTCTTGACGAGGGTCAGGCCTCGCCTACGGATGAGTTCAGGGTCTTCTATGCCGATCGCTTGCCATGGTCGCTGATCGTCAACGCTGTCGGTGCGCCGGGTCATGGATCGAAGATGTATGATGGCTCTGCAGCGGAAAATCTTATGGAGTGCGTCGAGGCTATTGTTCGATTCAGGGACAGCCAGTTCGATCTAGTCAAGGCTGGTATCCGTGCCGGGTCCGAGGTCATCTCGGTGAATCCTGTGTACCTGAAAGCGGGCACGCCAACTCCTAATGTTAGTTATTTAAGACACTTTTTTTATGCTGCCATTTCTTTATGGTTTTCTGTAACAGTAATTGCTCAAGATGCATTAATTTTCTAAATTAGATAAGTTCTCGCAAAACTAATTTGTTTGTGACAAGTTTGTTCCCTGGTACCTTAAAATTCCTTCGCTTGGATTTCTACTGAATTTTGGAAGATCTAGTTCATTGTCTCCATGTTTTTTTGATATTCTTAGCCATCATTGCTAGCGTTAGGAAAGTAAATCCTGTCTTTGCTTGAACCTGCTAGGGAGTTTATCGCCCTCCTATTATTAGGTGCGGACACCGGACGTAGAGATAAAAAATTGACACTTGACATGTGGAGTGCACTTTAGTTGCGTTTTTTGTGCGCTTTAATTGCACTTTACCTGCATTTTAGTTGCACTTTAACTGCGCTTTGATTGCGCTTTAACTGCGCTTATGATGCGATTGGCTTAAGGTTCCACGGACACATTAAATATATTGAATATCCGCAAGTCCACTCCACGTGTTGACATTTTATTGATGTCCGGACGTAGAGCTAAGTCTGGTCTCTGCACCTAATAATTTTCCCTTCTACAGAGATCCTTATAGCTTCTCATTTATGCAAAGTTGCTTGCGGTTCTTGCAACAATGTGCAATCAGGACATATTATGTATTGAATACTCTCATTTTAACATTCTAACCTTAGAAACTAGATTCTTGGAACTTCTGTGCATGCATCACAAATTTTCGTGATCATATTCTATTAGCAAACTAGCCATTATCCAAGCTATTGTTTTAACAAATTATGCAGTCGAGAATGCCATTCCTGTTCATTTTTTTGCTTAAAATTGTTTCTCCTTTTCCTCTAGATGCTATTTGAACTCCGTAAGTCTGGGATCTATGGTCAACTTGTCACTGGTCATCTGATGAGGCTCATTAGTAGATAGGAGATTTGTATGATTTGTAGGTGTAGTCTTTTGTAAAAGCTGCTTCATCATGTTCATATGCATTATCATCTTGTTTATCTTTGCGTTAAGAAGATAAACTTCATCTTCTTTTGCTTTTATTTGCTGTTGCATTTGTCATTGTGTATGGGCCAATGCGGCAGCATCAAGGACTCCAATTAATGAAAAGGGGAAAATGCTCGCTTGCAGGAGAGTTTATGTGGTCTCATTTGCTCAAAATAAATGTGTGTACTAGGCTAGTTACTAGTATAGTCGACTATATAAACAACTGAAATGGCTAGTCTCTTTTTCCTATTCTCTTTTAGCTTGGACCGTGCAACAACACCTCCAAGGAATCTCTTGCAACTAAAACATCATAATTTCTTCAGCCATTTGAGCTTGGGCATAATTCGCTTCTTTGATTTCTACAATTGAGTCGTCATGGGATCCATTTAAGGAAATCACCCCATTTTTTAAGGACATCCAGAATGTCAACATATTGTTGCTAGGAGGATTATCCTTTTTGGGTGTCTGTGCTTGATGAAACTTTTTAGTAGTAGATACATGGTCATGACTCCTAAATGAAACTTTTTGGGGTTCAAAAAGAACATAGTTTCCAAAAGGTTTTGTTCTTTATATAGATTTTACTTTTTGTTGGAAAATTATTTTGCATAAATGAATGATATGGATCAGTAATCAAATGTTGATGAATCATCTTAGATTCTTAAAATATATAATCCTAAAGAAGAAACATGGCATTTGTATAAACAATGATTATGATGCTGTGGAATCAACACTAGTAGGTATATGAAACTCAAAAATTCACATGTGGAAATGCGAAAGATTACAAATTTTATATTTAACGTTACTCAACACCAAAGAAAAGAATTTTAAGAAACTTAACCTAGGATCGTGAGAATTTTATTTTATTATTTTAATTTTTTTTTCTTTATTTTTTTGGTAGAAGTATCACTAAAAGCTTGTGTTTTTTAGTTATGAACTTCTACTACATAGAATTCATAAGACACCATATCATGGGCTCAATAATGTATGAACATTTTCATTTGTAGAATGCTGAACGTTGAGTAGAGTCATAGTAACTAGTCATATATGTAAGAAGAAACTTTCTTGAATGAGAAATTTGTTGACTTTGAAAATTCCCACATAACTATCTATACATGCACATGCATATAGTACATTTGTATATGTATATGTTATATATGAATTTATATTATTTTGAAAATTTTAATTGATTTATTAGAAGATAACTTGAATATTAGATTAGACAACCTAAAAATTTTGCCTTTACTCTCTTGTTTGCAGTCTGTCATGGGTATAAGACTTATGATTAATTACAAGTCTCTTGATTACTAGAGCACTTTTGACTAAAGTTAATCTATAAGCTCTATGATACTTTGCTTTTGGTAGCGTCAATTTAGATTGAAGAAAAGAATATGATGCTACTAGATCAAAGCATATGGTGGAGAAACAATGAAAAACATGGTCAATAACACATGATTTTATTATCCTAGGTCATAATAGCCCTTAGCTTTTTAGTGAATGAGAGAGTCAACCCAAAATGACCTAAAATATTGTTGTCAATAACCATATGTTGCATCATCTAAAGGGACATCTCAGAACTAAGGAAAAGTTTATTGAAGGGGTCTATTTTAAGACTGACCATAGCTAACAAAGAGTTTCATGCCATGTTGAGTGTGCCTTTTGGTTCATAACTCATAGGCTTTGAAATTAGGGAACATTTGGGATTGGCACTTTGCCAAGCCTTGTGTTTCAATGGCATCTTTTAGGCATGATTGTATGACCACACGATATGAAAGTAGCTTTTCACGTCCTTTTTTAATGTGAGATTTTTAAGGGTGAATATATGGATACACTCGACATGACATTTACTCATTATAAATTTTAATCAAACCCAATTTTGTCATCTTTGACAAAATGATGTGCAGGATGGACACATGGCTAATATGAGGGCAAAGCAACAAGATATTGCTAAAGCTTATTATAATTATTATTAGTAGCAGCAGCAGCAGCAACAACAATATTATAGTAGTAAAAGTAGTGGAGCAGCAATAGTAGTAGTAGTTATAGTAGTGGTAGTGGTAGAAGCAACATTATATAGGGCTAAATTTAAATGGAGTTTTCTCTAGAGATGACTTTTCTTTGGTTATACTAATCAACAAGAAAGAGCTCAAATGCATTTTTCTTGGAACTTAAGAAGACATTTTTATGATGATGATTCTCTCTAAATATGATTGGCAATATTCACACCCACCATAAGGGAAAAGATTTGAAGTGATTTTTCTTTGTGTTCAAGAGCACGCACCTTCATTCTCTGGTTATGATATGTAATAATCGATTTCATGAGTGGGATGACTTGCCTAAAGAGCGCACATAAGGTTCCTATATTTAAGATTCTTTCGTCTTTTAGTTATGTGGGGTAATCATGTCATGGGCACATAATTGAGATAACACTTTAGTTGGCATGAATACCTATTCATATTTAATATTTTGCTTATAAATAAATTTTTTTTAGTATCAGCATATTTAGAGCTTGATGCATATCTTGAGTTGTACATAGGAACTCAGTTTAAAATGTTTGATCAACCATGACCTGCAGGAGCGGTGGGGTTCTTGGCTGCGAGGATGTATTCTTTTGGCAATGAGAAGTTTCATTTTTATCATAATAACCATTGACAACCTGCGAGTCTTGTTAAATATTCCATTTTCTTGTAGAGGATTGGGATTGGGCCCTAGCAAATTCATATGTTCACATCATTTCAATTTAGTTTCAAGTAATAATGTTTATAATATGTATTGTATTTTTGTTTTGGACTTACATCCTGAACATTTGAGGAAGGCCCAAAGCTGTAGACTTACGATCCAACCCTTAGGTAGGATGGCTCCTAGAGTTTTATTGTTGAATGAATTTTCTTCATAAAAGATCTTGGAGGCCTTATGGTAATGCATTGTCAAATATCATGAATAAACTGTGAGTTGAATTAAAAATTAAGAAATAAATCTACACTTTCAATCAATAATAAAAAGGAAGAGAAGATAAAAAAAGAGAGTGAAAGAATTAATCTATTGACAAGCCTCATGCTTGAGCAAGTAGATAGTTGCTTTTGGTATGTTTCATGTTTGATGCTTGACAATTTATGAAGGATTATAAAAAAAAGTTTGGACATTGAAAAATACTTTTATTCAAGTCAAACAATTGTACTTTTATATCTCTTAGAACTTGGATTTATTATCCTTATTTAGCACCTGATCTAAGAACAATATAGTCTCATGTTAAAATTTTGCAAAAGAAACCACCCCCAACCACAATAGGCATGAGACAACCGTGCCCGTTGGACAGGGAAAATTATAAAAGCCACTAGATCTTATATTAAATAAGAAGTTGATAAGAACTCCTAACCAAAGGGACCACCTGTAAGAACTGCCTTAAAAAAAACTGCCCACAAGAAGCTACTAGGAATATAATGACCTCATGAATTAGGAAAATAGGATACACCGCAAAGAAGGAATAGTCATAGAAATGAGAATAGAATCATACTCAAATCTCGATGTTGAAATGCATTCATCAGAAACATATGAATTTAGTTTCAACAAATTGAACTCAAAAGTGAAATAAAAAATTCAAATATAAAATTTTATATTTGAAGAGTTAAAATGATTGAGGTAACACAATATTTATGTTTCTAGTGACTGTAGACTTTGAATTTTTTCATCATCTTATCCTTAAATTTGTTAATAGGGACCCATCTGATGGTGAATCTAGCATAGTGGATTGAATAGTATGTCAAACCTTTTATTTAATAATTGTTACATGGGTTTAGATAAGGCCACAACATTTAAATTCCATTTCAATATGATTGGAAAAAAGAGTTATTTCATGAAAGGTTATCTCTTTTAGCTCTTCATATACACATTTCTTTTCCACAGTAGCAAGGCGACAACATAAAGATGACTTGATTTATCATCCATGCAATGCCATATCTCAAGAATGATAATAATCATTTATATTGTGCTAATCTTTTTTTTCTATTCATAAAATATCCAACATTAATCATTCATCAGTAAATCGATGGAAGTATACTTCTCTATAATTGACAAGTATTCTAGAAGCTATTGATCATTGACAATTCTAGAGGGCTAGCATGATCCTTGTCGAATGCCATAACAAATTTATATGTGCCCAGAAGGGTCATGGTGCCATGCTGAGCTCACCATTGCATTGTACATGTTAGTTGGCTTGCTTTTATTTTTCAAATATATTCAAATACTTATTGGAAACTTTGAGATATGCATGAGACCGGGCATGCGTTTTTTTAACACATTATTGATAAGCCACAACAATCTAAGTTGGTTATTTTCTAAATCAATCATATTTGCATTCTATCACTTTTAGTCTCTTCTTTTAGCATTCTCTCTCAACACACTTTTCCTTTTCTTAGTACATTCATTCGTCCTTATAATTAATGTATTGATCTATGTTTTTAATTTAACTATTTTGCATGGATGTTTTGATACAAATGCTAATTCTAGCAATTATGTTTATTTTGATTAAATTATCTTGCGTTTTAGATTTTGTAGGCTTATTTTATAAAATTTTTTTGTATTTTGTTGTGTCCGCATCCGTCGGCTTATATGAATCATAGTCTTAATGCAACTATGGAACATAGCTATCAATATTTACAAATATTAATGCATAAATATGTTTTTGTGTCTTACTATCTCAAGAAATTTGTTCAAACCAACTTCATCCATGTATTTTTAGCAAATTTAGGTTGAAATTTGTTTGGATTTGATTTAATTTTTTTTTTTAAGATATTAGCTTACCAATTTATGATTGATATTTATTAAAAATAATTAAATATCATGTCCTTTATGTCTTTATCGTGCATATTGGTTCTCTTGCATTCCTTAAGATTTTTTTTATTTATTTTTAAATTTTTTATTTTTTAGTTTTTATTTATTTCTCTTGCATTCCTTAAGATAAAGGTTGGATTTTATTAATTTCAGGGTTTTGTTATGAATGTGCAACCTTCAGAAGCTGAGGCGGGGTTTGACGTACGCCTTCCACCGACGGAGAGCATTGACGTTTTAAGAAAAAGAATAAATGAGGAGTGGGCCCCAATTTCAAGAAACATGACCTACCAGGTGAGCTATCAAGATGAAATCATGACAAATTTTATTGTAGTTACTATAGTTTGTAGGTAATTTTTTTCTAGGCCCACAAATAATTTTAAATGACATGACACTAGCAAATGATTTTATAATAGGCCAAAATATAAAATTTGGGTTTTGATTGTAGTTCACTCTTGTTTCTTTTTATTACACTTTCTAAACCTAAAGAAGAGTCAATCTTTTCAATTTCAGGAATAGTGATATATGATACCTTTTCAAAAGATTTTTTAGCTTTTGTCTTGTACCAACTCCTTATCTTCCTAATTACTATAGGATACTTGAGGCTGGTTTGAAGGAATTGAAATAGAGGAAGTTATGATACAAGAACGCTATTGGGAGATATGAATGTATGGGCACAACATGTTCATAAAATGTAGTGAACAACTCGCTATAAACTTGATATTTTTTTTATAAATTATCAATATAAAATATATAATAGATATATTTTCAATAAAAAGTTATTATAAAATGAAATAAAATATTATGAGTCATATAAAAGCTTAAGGGCCGATGAAAAGGATTAGATTATTTAGAATTATATTTAATATTTTATTAAATGTATTTGATTATCAACAACACACCAACTACAATATTAATCGTTAGGCATGACTTCGTAAATATTGACATTATATATCCACACAATACCAAAAATAGAAAGAGTATATAATATTCAGAATATTAAAAATCGCATGAATATATTGATATACTACTAATTACCCAATACACTCGAGCATACCCATCATTGTTCCTAGCACCGTTGTCCTCTTCATTAAAACCTTCGCCATCATCAATGAAATATAGTTTGCTAAGCTAACTTATAAAAAAATATTTTTCTTAATCATCGCATGTTCCAATCGTGTCAAGTTGTGTCATTACCGAGTCTTACTATAATTTTGAAAAAAAAAATTCATTGTTGAATATATGTCGAGGTGTGTTAGAAGCAAGTACGTGTTCGACATGGATACAAAAGGCCTCTTGAAGTGTGTTCTTTCTACAGAGAGTGAAATGGAAATTAAATGATAAAATAATTGAATTGAAATCAGTTTCACCCCACAGGTTTGGTTCAGGAAAGATTAAGTGAATTTTTTTAATCTTGTTTTATTGATGATAAATGAAAGTTTTTGTTTCTTGTGATACGAGCACTTATGAGTCGCAATAATGATGCAACAAAATTTTCTTTTCCTTTTTAATTATAGTATGGTAGAGAATTGCCGTTATAAAAATGCATTTGTTTACATTTTCTAAACAATTCCATTAGCATATTAGTTATATTGGAACCAAACAATAAATATCAAATTGTGATATATATACATTCCCTTCAATTTATTCAAACTAAACATTCTTATAAGTTCATACTTGCAGTCTTTTAAGTTTTAACCCGTGTGAAGTTGATTTTATTAATCCGTTCCCCCATTTATTCCTCTTGTGTGGTTTATGAGATGCCAACTCTATTTTTTAACATTTTTAATTTATTGTGCACTACTTCTATCTCATTTTTTTAGTCTTTCGACGTTAATGTTATTGACATGTCTTATACATGCATTGTCTATCTTTTGTTGTGTATTTTCACATTGTAATTTTCCTGAGTTTTACTACACATTAGATATTGATATTAATTGAGGTTTGAGTAGAGAAATCCATTGGATTTTGAATCGAAAAATCCATTTGATTTGAATCAACTTGAAATCTTTTTGAGCAAATTCAAAATTACATATATATATATATATATATATATA